CTCATCTCGTCTCGGATCAAAGCGTTCTGGTCTCTTACTCCCTGTTGACCTCGAGGAAGATAAGGTGGGATCTCTTCATGGTTCTTATGTTGTTGCCGCCTGGGAGGTGAATACTGAAGATGACGGTGATGCCCCCGCCCATAATCCTCTCCGGTATCGCCTTTGTTTTGGTATTGTCTATGGAAAGGTATGTATTCCTCCCTTCGAGGACTCTTTCGATGCCAGTTGGGCCCCTATCGGTTGTGAAATTGGTCCTTCTCGGAGGGTTTCATTCTCCCTCTTCCATAACCTCGACGCTAGGGGATTCTTGTTGGTAGTGGTCTCGAGGATCCTTGCATCTATACACCGCATCAAACTCTTCAATGACCATATCAAAGGCTGGATATTTCTTCCTGAAAGCCTTCCAATAAACGGTGTCTCGAGTGGCGGTTGAATGGTTATCCAAGAAGCCTTCGCGATCTGAATACTCTTGATAGTCTCCCTCCTCCTGGATCTTTGGCTTGCCTTGTTTCTTCTCGAGAAGAGCTAAAGTGCGTCGAGCTTCTTTCTCGTCAATCAAGTCAGCTAACTCTTGTTCAGTTGGGTTAGGCTTTCCCAGGAGACAGTGACGCCTTGTTTCCTCGAGAACATATCTTTTCATCCTTTCATTTTGATCGTTGTCATCCCGTAACTTTTTGAGTTCAGCCTCGATTTCGGCCAACTTTTGATCCTCCAAGCGTTTCCTGGATGCTATGGTATTTTGAGGAGGAGGCAAATCCTTTTTCTCGGTCGCGGGATTTGCTTTGTCTGGTTTCTTTGGATTAGGCTGTGAAGTTCCGAGGACCAGACGTTCTTTCCCTAGTTCTTTCCCGGGTTTTCTTTCATGGCCCTTTCCCATCTTCTTTCTTTCGTGTCGTCGTTGGAATTCTGCCAGGGTAGTGTTATCGGCTGGACTGTGCCGTCTACCGGAAGATGCTGTGCTGCTCGCGTCTTCTTCAACCCTGGCCATGGTGTGCGTGGTTCCAGAAAATCTAAGTCGCACCGGAGAAGGTTAGGAAAACTGAAAAGGTTTTCGTTACACAAATCCTAGTTTTCGGGTCCTACTGGGCGTGCCACTTGACGAAATTTGGTTTTACACCGCCGGTTTGGTAGTGGAACCTCGGCTAGGGTTTCCTGCAAAGGAAGGCCTCGGGGGTCTCCCGAGGGTAGACACTCTGATGCTTAAGTCAGAAAAGGGTTTAAAGAATGTATGTGTGTAGTAGTTTGTGCTAGAGATAGCATACGTCAATTGTGGTATAACCAACCCTATTTATAGGCATGAAGTTACCTGAGAGATAACCGAGTCCTATTAAGTTTCGTGTTGCTCAAACCACCTTAACAGAGTCGGTTGGGCTCTTTACTCGGTTGATGGGCCGATCCAATATTTGTGATGGATATGGACTCGTCAGTTTTCAAAATATTGAGGACTCATTTAGTATCTCTAGACTTGATAAGTAATAATCTAAACTTGGTAGGAATGTCAAGTGCCGAATGGATACGTAAGGAGCATTACCACTTGTCAAAAGTTTATTCTCATATGGTATAGTGTTACCATTATAACTTGTTTGTTTAACAAATATTCAAGTGATATTAGTAGGTCTACAAAATGTCTTGTTAATGTTGAATTGAAGTTTTGTGATGTGACTGAAGTTTTGTTAATGTTGTAAGATCTTTACCATTTACCCCAAAAAAATGTCTCGGGTTCAAAGTGCCTGTTTGTTTACGAATGAAGGGTTGTTGTTACTAAATTTTCTCCACACTTGTCCATCTAATTGCTGATTCTTTCATCTTGTTCAAAATTATGGATGAAATTCCATCTAGAGTGTAAAAACTACCTTTGATACCCTATTTTTTGAATATGTACAGGGGATACCGCGCCGGGTAATCTAGTCTATGTGAAAAGTTGAAATATGAGCCACAACTACAAAGGACTTGGCCGATAATTGTTGGTGCGCAATCAAAATAAATTTCTTGTCTACATTAGCAAGTTAAGGCAGTAGTAACTTAGTAGTATATATCCATGTAAGTTTGGTGCATCTTCGGAATAATTTTGGTGACTATTGGGAATTTATTATTATTAAGGACTTTTGATACTTGTACCTCTCTTTCCTCAATGTAATTTACATTTAATGTGTTAATATTATAATTAATTGTTTTAGAGATTTTGAACATTAGTTGGAAAAGAAAATATGTGATTCTAGTAGCTAATATTAAAATGAAATGAAATGAAAGATTACCCACGGCTTACCCTTGTTTGATACTGATGACGTTGTAAAAGAATTCCCAGGGAAGGGCCACGGTACATGTCTCCCATGACTTACCTATAACACTTCTAATAACAATGTTCTTTAACCATGGTTAAATCATACCCACGGATTACCTACAAATCTACCGTGGGAAATTTATGGGATTTTGGTTGTCTTCTGAGAAGCTTTTTAACCACGGACTACCCACGGTAGAGTCGTGGGTATATTATCCACGGATGTTAAATATCTGTGGGTACCATCACCCATGAACCATATAGCCACGTCTTCTAAGCCGTGGGTGATCCGTGAGTGATTTTGGTTACCCACGGCTATCAAAGCAAAACTAGCCACGACATGTCCGCGGATATTCGGCCAGTTTCTTGTAGTGTCAAATACAATTAAGGGTCAAATATGACTTACAAACCAAGTGGGAAAAATCAGGTTCAACTAGGCGTTGAGAAGTTCTATTTTTCTTCTAATTTTCGAACTCCATAAATTCGAAACCTATTTGTCTTAAATTACACACATCAAATTTTTTGCTGTTGCAAACGAAACTCCATTTTTTATGTGCAATGCCTATGTTTCTGGACAGGGTAATTGCCGTCATTTCTTAATTTAAATAAAAAAACCAATTCTTTCTTTTTCTAAAATAAAGGTTATTTATTCAAAATTAAGATCATTCACTCTAAAATTAGAAAACAAATTTATGTCTCATATTTAATTTTCTAAAATTTTAAAAAATTGAATTTACTAATTTCTCTTTAGTTCATCCTTTGAGGCAAATATATCAAAACTTTCTTCAATTTTAACCCTTCCCCATTTAACTATTTATTTTTTCCCGTTGTTAATTTCGAAAACATATATGTCTTCCATTTTTTTTTATCTCACACTTTTATAAACGAAGTCTTTATTTTAGCAACACATTAAATGACATATAGGTTTAAACATGCCTCCCTGCTGGTTCATTTATGCATGCACTATCGCGAAACTTCCCAGGTATAACTGATTCTGATTTAGCCAAATGCCTTTCACTTCGAGAAGCTTTATTGCTTTGTCGTTCTCTCAATCTTCAAAATGTTGTGGTCACTGGGGATTCTAGTGTGACTATCCTTGCTGCAAATGGAGACTCTGATTTTCCTTCTCCATGCTCACCCATCTTGGAAGACATCCTTTCTCTTGCCAAGACTCTTCATGTTCAAGGGTTTTATTGGACAGACCGGCATGATAATTCTCAAGCACATGCTCTAGCTCAATTTGACAAATCCTCTACTTATTTAGAAACGCATTGGAATTATGCTCCTGATTTATGACTATTTCAGCTGCTTAGTCTTTGTCATTTGTCCTTTTGGCAATGATTGGAGTATTCCCAAACCTCTGTATTACTCAATAGGCTCTGGACCTGCTTTCCAGAAATTTAATTGATATTTCCTTTTCCTCAAAAAAAAAAAAGGTTTAGACATGCCTTGGTACACCCTAATTCATCCTAACCTTAATCTTTATGACGAAAACAAATTGATGATTATGAAATAGCTAATAAATATTTACAAATTAAAATACTAGAATCAAGGGCAAGATTGTTAAAACTGCAAGTACATTCATACGTGCCAAATTAACCCCTAAATGATTAGGAACAACGAGATCCTCTCTTACTTTTCATTTTAAAATTCATGAAAAAAAAAATTTGAACAAAAGAGGCCGACTTCCATTTAAGTAAAGTTAAAATAAGTTAATTGTGGAGGTGACCTCCACTACAAGAAAAATGTACAATAAAGACATAAGTAGCCTATAATGATATTAAAATTTTAAAGGTATTGCTTCAATGTGTGGTACTTATGTCACAATAGTTTTCATATACTTTAAAGGCACTTATATGTGTAATGATAGGTCATTTCATTTATTTTTAATCACCTTTTACTGCCTAGCTAGTGTCAGATAACTTTCTAATATTTTAGTGCTTATGAAAAATTAAAATACCACTAAAAAGAAAAAAAAAATACCAATAAAAACATCAAAAACAAAGAAATTCATAGTTCTCATTCAATAATGTGCGATTGTTAGTACATATGACAAAATGGATCAACTTTCAATCCTCTACATGGATTTGTGTGAATCATTACAGGTAATACATTAAGTGCATTCTGGACTTTGACAATACATTTTGTCTTGTGCTACCTCCCTCGATTAGGACGAAGAGAAAACCTTGACGTATTTGCTTCAAGCAGGCGCAATGGCCTACTACATTGTCTGCCTGGCGGCTAAGTAGCTGGAACGGTTCCACTGGTAGCTGAGAAGGCGCAGATATAGGTTCTGCAGGATTAACAAGTTTGACTTTACGATTCTATAAAACCACCATGAGACAGAGAAGGAGAAGTCACCCATGGTTTAGGAGAATGCTGAGTTGCTTGATGCACCTTAGGAAAGGGTGGAACAGGGCATAAGATCCACACGCATGAGACTAAATACCAAATATATATGAACAATCGCACATTAGATATAATCACGGACGTACATGTGGTCATCCCTATCTGGCTGCTAGCCCTTTAATGGAGAGGATACAATCCGAATTTAAAACCATATAAACCAAAGAGGCTAACATACATAGAGTTCATTGCATCAAAGAAAAATACCTTGAATGAAACAATACATCCCTGAATTTGTGAAGATTAAAGCAACTTTACATCCTACCACAAGAAACCTCCAGTGCTGGAATCTACAACCTTGTTATTTACTTTGACAATGCAAGGGTACGCTGGACATCATCAACTCGATGCTTCTCTTGATCTCAGCACAATCTGCGAGCATCTCAAGTTTAGTCGCCAAATTTTCAAATCTATATTCAAATTCTGGATGATTATTCAAACAAAATTGCATACCGCTTACCAGAACAAACTTATTGGTGTGATCAATACATCCCACCCCGTAAAGCAAGCCCCGTTGAAAACTGATTCTATCTCCAATCTCCAAATTAATGGTAGCTGCAACATAATTAAGGGTAATTGTTACAAGTAATTTGGATAATCTCACCACGTAATCACCGATCGAATAGGTAATCGGAACGTATATTCCCAAATTGCCCAATCAATTTAGACATCATTGATATGAAGTTCATACGTCAATGACCCAAAAAAATTGTACAATTTTGTGAAATGGTGATTTAACTTAGAGGTCGGATCCAGTTGATGTTCTTATAATGTTAAGAAAGTTTTATAGTTATTCTTCAAACCTCAGTCATCAAATTAATCTGTGTACTTTATAGCTGCGTTTTTTAGTCAATGTTAAATATTAATTATGATATTACAATCCAAGCTCAGTGCATGCGCAAGCGTGATTTGGATTGTAATAATTTCTAATTCGACTGAACTGAATGACTTTCATTTACATCATTTTTTTTTGTAGTATAACAATATATTTACCCCCAAAAAAAATTTAAAAATTGTACTTTCTCTGGACGAGAAAAATAGTACATATTGGATTTTTAATTTTGCACTAAAACTAGTACAAATCTCAAAACTTAAAATGGACTATTTTTTTCAGACAGAGCGAGTAGCATAAGTGAAATATATAGACTAAAGAACCTTTTCGATACTAAAGAGTAGAAGATCATTCTCCAAGTTAGGGTCATTTAAGTGGTTGAATCACCAAACACTATTGATACATGAGAAAGTTAAAATGCTTCATAGATTAATTAGAACCAGTGGTCCACAACATAGTTAAGCACCAAATTTTCTAACATTTTCTTAATTCCTCCTTTCACTATTTGAACCAAATGGAATCAATATTGATGTCTGGCCTTTAACTATTTTGCAGAGAGATTGTTGAATCATACACCAAGGAAGTATCAAAACTAGAAAAAACGGTGATGAGGATGATTTTTGAAAGGTCGGGTGTGAAGGAATTTCATGAACAATACTACCAATCATGTTCTAATTTCCTTGCATTGATTAAACATAGACCCCCACAGTCCAATGAGGAGCTTGGAGGTGTTCAAGAACACACTGATCCAACTTTCATAACACTTATTCAGCAGAATCAAATTTCAGGTTTTGAGATTAAATCAAAGGATGGGAGCTGGATTTCTGTTGGATTACCTCCATCTTCATTCCTTGTCAGGGCTGGTGATGCATTACTGGTATGTGTTTTTTTGTGGGTTATCTTTTTGTTCAAGTGTATTTCGGCTTGTTAAATTTTGGTACTAAATAAATATTATGTTGTGGGAAAAAAAAATGAAGCATATATTATCATTACTATGCAAAACTTTTACTCTATTCGTCCCACAAGAATGAGGGAATAAGATTAATCTCAAAACAAAAAAAAAAAAACAAAAAAAAGTTATTGAGAGAAAACTTATTAACTTATACCCACTCTGTAACATATTTTTTTATTTTATTATTATTTTTTAAAAAAGGTACTTGTATTAGTTAAAAGCACTTATACTATTACATTTCATCCTATTATATGTTATATTATGAAGTTCTGCTATATGATCGCGATCAACCTTAACTAACTTACAAGACGAGAAACTATCGATTACAAGATTTAAACATTGAACAACTTGTTGTGCCTCTACTAGTATCAGTGATGAATGAAGGTCCATTGTAAGGAGTTCACAATCAGTGTAGACTTCCACGTGTGTTATTCCCAATTGAGATGCCTCCTGTAAGGCCATTAAGAATGTCATAGCCTCTGTTTGAAATGGAGAGGATGCCAAAATGTCATCAGATTTAATTTGCATCACCATGTCATATGGCGACACTATCTTCCACGCTCCCCCCGCCTTGTAGTTGTGTGGATTAAACGAGCCATCCATGTAGATCTTTGAATGTGGTTGAGGTGTGGAAGGCATGTGAGGGTGGTTCTACAATGAATTAGCTGGATGTCTTGAATTAGGCTGCCTTGAGTGGGATAACACCGTGTGTATGTTGAAATCCTTCTTGATTAGTCCATGTTACTGTTAGATCCACCGTATGATTTCTCCAAATTTTTTCATTTCTTTCCAACCATAACCTCCACATAACCAGAATGCATAAATCAATGTTTTCCTTGGAGGGATGTTATTGGATCCAGCAAGAGAATAATTCAAATAGTAAGTTGTGAGTACCACTGAATGCGTTTTCAAATTCTGGATACAATAATCCCCAGATTGTCTGTGAGAATGGACATTGGATGAACAGATGATGGTTATCTTCAACCTGTTGGCCGCATCTCGGACAAATGGTGTCCACCGATATACCTCTTTTACTCGGCTCATCTTTGGTGGGTAGTGCATTTGTAAGTGCTCTCCACATGAGTATTTTTTGCTTTGGTTGTACTGTCGAGTTCCACAATTTTTTCCAGGTAGTTTTGTCAAAGTTTTGTTGGGGCTGTGTAGTTGTTATTGGCTGAGCATCCCTAGCATTAATTGCAATCTGATATCCAGTCTTGACTGTATACATCCCATGCGATGTGTATTTCCACTGCAGTCGATCAGGCTGTTGTGATCTATCCGAATTAATGAAGATACCTGTGATAGCTAGTATCATTGTGAGAGGGAATATTGTCCTTAAAAAGGGCAGTTCCACTGACCCGTTGAGGTGATGAGATCATTTACTGTGAAGGCTGTGTGTGTTGCCAGAACCGTGTCAAGAAATTGATATGAAAAATTACCCGAATGACGCGGAAGCAATCCCAAAATTTGGATCTCTTTCGAAAGGAATTCGAACCCACAAAAAGTTTGAATAAAATGGATGGATAGATTAGAAATGAAGAAAGTTGTTATGGCTAGCAATCTCCTAGATACTCCTTAAACAACTCTCGCCCTAAAACTTCCGACAAAAACGGTTTGATAAACTTCTATGAAACGGCTAACAAATCTCCACCAATTGAGAACACCAGACTCAACGTTTTGCTGGAGTTTTTTCACTTTGTAGTTTCGGCTTCAATCTTCCATCATCTTTAAACTCATAAGTTATCAATTCCACCAATATGATCACATTAATATAGTGGTCATCATAGCATGGAACAATTCCTAGTGGCCTAATCATGATCATATCATTTAAGGTTTTAAACGTGAAAAATAAGAAAGGATCTTTTTGTTTTTAATTCTTTAAGGTTAATTTTGCTCGTGCGAATCTATGGACTTGCTTGTAATAATCATGCCGTTGAGTCTGGTGTTCTCAATTGGTGGAGATTTGTTAGCCGTTTCATGGAACTTTATCAAACCGTTTTCGTCGGAAGTTTTAGGGCGAGATTATTTGAAGAGTATCTAGGGGGTTGCTAGTCATAACACTTTCTTCATTTTTAATCTATTCATCCATTTTATTCGAACTTTTTGTGATTTGGAATCCCTTTTGCAAAAGATCCAAGTTTTGGGATTACTTCCGCGTCATTCGGGTAATTTTTCATATCAGAAATAATGGTCCATCTTTGTAAATGCATAACTTCTGGATTTGTGATATGCAAAGATTATTGAGAGAAACTTGGTTATTAAGCATATACTAACATTTTCTTCCATTTGTAGAGTAATGATGCTACAAGATAAAATGAATTATTTAGTAATTGTCTTTAAAAATAAAATTTTTCCACAAGACCCTTTTTATAGCGGCGATTGTAATATTATCTCTATCTTATATTATGATGCATATGCTATTAGTCCAAATCTTCTTCTTGACTTTAAGCAGGCGTGGAGCAATGGCAGAGTCCGTTCTACTTTACATAGGGTCAGAAGGAATTCTAGAGAAACTACAAGATTGTCAATTGCTCTAGCTTCATATTACAACGGGATGATTCAAATACCTGAAGAACTTGTTGACGAGGAGCATCCTTTGAAGTTTAAGCCATTTACCACTTGGGATTCATTCATTTCACTTTCACGGGCCCTCCAACGATGAAAGAAAAATGATTGGCTACTGTGGAATTGAAGATTCCATTGATCCTTAGTTCCAAGAAAATATCATGTTTCAAAACTTCTCTTATTTTTTAAAATTCTGTTTTTTATTTTTTTTTTCCCTTTCCAATTTTTACTTCAATGTTTGCTTTCATCAGTCACTGCTGCTAGACGATTTCTAGCAAATTAATGAATTTCTTTTTATTTCTCAAAAAAAAAATACTTCTTTGTCTAATCTGTCAAACAAAATGGACTAATCTGGTACGGAACAAGGGAGTAACTTTATATGTAAGATTCTACATTCACACATGTACTTATGCCAAAAAAAAAACAGAAAAAAAAAAAAAAAAGAGAAAGGTAAGGATTGATCCTCAAAAGGAGCCGATCGTATGTGAACTCAACCTATATACTGTATGAAACAAGCCAATTGCATTTAGAATCTTATTCATCTCTCTTGCAACAAAGTACAATCAAACACTCCTTCAAACCACAAAGCAGCACAATTTCACAGCCATTTTGCTGCTAATTTCTGCAACAAGCTAAACAAAAAACCTCTAGAGGGTACAAATTTATTCATGATAAAAGCATATAATTTGTGGACCAGTAGAACAATAAGCTTAGTTATAGGCATCAGGGTTTGCATTGAGGTAAGCTTCAACAGCCTTGAACATGGTAAAGCCCTGCTCTTTTGCACGCTTGATTTCTTCCTCGCTGATCTGAGCATCACCCTTGGTGTGGTAAATGCTTGTAGTTTTGATGATTGATCCTCCATCACCAGAAGGCACAATTTTCAGTTCATATGTAACGGATTCAATCACATCATTCTTTGCAGCGCCTTCAACATCAACTACAGTGTAGGTGAAGGTGTAGTTCTCTTTGTCGAGTCCATCGACTCTGTGTTTCGCGGTCTTAAACTGGCTACCTGCATAAACAACAAAGCACAGCAACACCTTCAGTTTTGTTCACATATACATGACAAAAAAATCCGTTTCAGTGAATTCATTCAGTAAAACAACTCATTCAAAATGTTATCATTAGTATTTTGATGTCGCTTTAGAACTGGGAGAATGTCTTATCAAGTGGTCATTTTTTACAAACTAACCTTCTCCGAAAGTTATGTGGTAAATGCTACCAACTCCTCCATCGCCTGATACTTTCTCGACACTCTTGAACGCCTGTGGCACGGCCTTGGGAAGGAAGTTGTCATCAAGGATGAGGGACTTGAACAACCTTGCCGGAGAAATTGAGGAAGGAGCATCATAGTTGTAAGTGATGTTCACCATTTTGTCAGAATTGGGTATTTGGAATTCAAACAAAAGATAAAAGAAAAGAAGGCTTCTTCTTGAATAGGTGTTTGTTGGGATGCAAGAACAGAGAAGATATCAAGAGTATTTATAGACTACTGAACTTAATACCCTGTTCTGCTGAAATTCATTATTCCTAAATGAAACTTTTACTTAGATTAATATTTCAGACTGTATAATTCTACATAAGACAGCTGATACATTAAATATTTTCAGTATTCCGCCATAACAAAAGCAATTTCGATATAAAAGAGAGAAAAAAAAAAACATGGAAAATCTCCAAAGATAAAGTGAAGACGATTATTTAGACTTACAGATAGTTTATTAAGATACGATGCTGCACTGGAAGTCAGCATTTGTGTGCATCTTCCATCATGGCTCTGAGTTGCTTATTTTGAATTACTTGCACTCTCTCTTTTAACACCCTTTCTAGAATTAATGAACTATTCTAGTCAAACACAAAACAATTCCGTTTTTTACCAGTGGGCACGACCTGAACCTTTTTTCTGAATCTGCTCTATTTTCTATATTGATGTGAACTTACACTGTGAAAATCTCATCCCACATTACTTCCAAAGTTAACATTGTAATGTATTCATCATAATCATGACCACAATCAATCCCGGTGCTGAAAGGCTCCCGTTTCACAAGGGCATGGAGGAGGGACATTTGTAATTTGCACGCAGCCTTACCCTTACTCCTTGCAAAGCGGCTATTAGTTCGAACCTGTGATCAATGAGTCAAAAAGCAGCAATAGTGATTCAGGGATTTAAAGTGGGAAAAGAAAACAATCAATGAAGAAAGTTGAAATGGATCTATTGATTAAAAAAAAAAAACTGGAAAAACAGGGGTTACCATTGCATCAGTTCCTGTATAAAAGCTAGCAAACCTGTTACAGAGAAGAGAGGGAAGACAGGAAAGATTGGACAAATATTGAAATTTAAATGGATTCTTTCAAATGAAAAATGGAAATGGCAAAATTTCATTGAGATGAAGATACAGATTACAGAATCAAACTAAAGCTGTTTTCTCCCATTACAGTTTTTTTTTTGCATTGAGATTACAATCACCTAGCGGCAGCTCTAGCACTTATTGATGTATGATAGTTGGTGCTTCTTTGTTTCCTATAAGATGTGTAAACATCATCGTACTGACTAGCCTCGTTAGGGTCGGCTGAAGCACCAAGCCCCAAACGCCCAGTGTCACTGGATCCAGGCTTCCGCTCAACACTTCCATCAGGTAAAGTGCCTGTTTCTGGGTCCACTTGCAGATCTGGAGGAGGGGGAATGCAAGCTCCTCCTTTACGGATAGGAGAGTCCCTCTCGTAGTCATCATAATCATCCTTGGACTCGGATCCTCTCATGGGTCCCTCTGACGGGTTAACTTCTCCAATTTCTCTGAAAAACTTTGACACCCTTTCAAGAACTTCAGCCGGAGATACATTTGAAGGCGGAATAACAGTTGGGATATCCAAAGGGCTCATGGGAGAGTAAGGCACTCCACTACCAATCTGCATTTTCCTAACCATTCCAGGTATAAGACCAGGTGGAAATAAAGGGTATGGAGGCAGTTTTTCAGCAACACCAGAGGTTGCTGGTGGCAATTGGGTTGCTGGCTGCGTAGAAAGAGGAATGGCAGCAGGCCCAGGAAACCCGATAGGAGGAACTGAATGAGGAAACTGTTGGGGAGCCAAAGACGGTTGTGGAAGAGGAAGTTGTTTATCCCGATAATCTTGGTCTGGTAAAACTGGAAATGGACTTTGTTTATCTAGCTGCCACGCATTGTGATTTGTCACCTGGTTCGCCACACCTGTATGAATAAATAGTTAACAAAAGAATCAGAGACCATAAAGACTTCCAGGACAAATAACAATGGCTAAAATCTGCATCAAGACCTGCAGCATGCGAATTTGAAACCACCTTCCATAACAGAAAAAACAATCATTGTATAAGCATACCTGCAGAGGCAGAAGGATCTGGTGATATAGTGCCCCTTTGAACTGGGAAAGAATTCATGGGTTGACCTCGAATCATTTCATTCTCAAGTCCACGAATAGTCTCTTGATCATAAACCTCCTTTGAAGCCCAGAATTGTAAAATCTTTTGAAGGCGTGACTGGTTTTCTTCTTTGTTCTGAGGATTATGGTAGATCCTCGCTAGCATAGACCCTAAAACAGGTCTAAATGCCAGCGCCTCATTATCAAGTTCATGCGGTGTCGGCCGTCTCTGGAAACTGCAGAATGCAGATAGTAAATGTGTCAGAAGTGCTACTGGCCAACAAGAAAAAGAGCCACAACTGGCACACACAGAATTTTATTGCAGAATATGCACAGCTTCACATAAAGAACACTCCGACAATAACCTTAAGAAAGTACATGCACACAGAGAGACTCAGATCTGACCATTGAAATCCATTGTAAGGGACTACATGCTCAAGAAAGAACAAAAAACCAACCGAAAAAAAAGGAGCAAAATCACACATCTAACACTGTTCTGCACGGAAGATCAGCAAGTTTGACAAATTTTACAATTATTGATATCATATTCTGATGTCCACAAGCACTAATACTCTCAACACCATAAAAGCAACGCAAGTAAACACCACACTAATTAAAAAAATAAAAATAATAAAAATAAAAATAAATAAAAAGCAAACACCATACTATAGCCCAGTTCACTCCTTTATACGTGGACCAAAATATTCAATGAACTTCTGGAGACTAGTGTTGTCATCTTTCTCATAAAATTGCTGGATCCGTAGAGAAGTAAACAAAAAGAGCAAAGTTTTACGAAGCCTTATATTATTCCCACATTGAAAATCAAAGGTACTCAAATTCTTCCATCCATTAAGTAGACTAAATTTCAACTGGAACTTTGATCCTATCAGCTACAAACTATAGATTACCAAGTCAAATCAACAAACAAACGAGAAAGGAACGGGAGGGGGAGAGGGGCGAACTAATAGCAAGGGCAGCTAGAAACAAAGGTATCATCAAAAGCACTATAAGTCCAGGAATAATATTTTTCATTCCGTTTAATCTCCAACAGATGCTCACTGCAATTGCAAGTGGTAGCATTAATGCTGATCATTTAGGGATGTTGAACAACAAATTCCTGGAAGAGAACGGAGAATGTTTTGATGTCATAGAAACAAAAGACTAATGACCAGTTCCACACCATGAAAGGGTAGAATTTACAAAAGCAGCAAAACAGATGCATTTTAGCTATATCAAGATTCAAATAACTTTAGATTCATGCGTGTCAGTTCTCTTCATTAATAACTAGAAGAACAATATTTTATAACCAGCTGAAATAGTGAATCAGAGTTCTCTAAGGCTTGTTCTCCTGATGTATGCACTACATTATTTCTTTTCAATGCTAGAAGATGTAAGGAGTCACATTTACTGCTTATTTAATCATCGGTAAAAGAATCTATCAAATGAAACTTGTATCTTTCAAAAGAATATTATGCAATCATGTTCTAAGATTCATGGGCATCTACAGGTTAATGCCCTAATAAATATGTCGCCTTAGCATAAGCTATTTTTAAATCCTATTCCTCCGCCTTTTAAGCTGACCAGAAACGACTTTAAACAACAAAAATAATTTGATCATGAAAACCGCAAACCTCAAAATAGGTTCAGACAATAGGGAGTAATGTTGGAAACTTGACAGCTACTATGCAATTTAAAAAAAAGGGG